CTTAAAATTTTATGAATGTTTGCTAATAGGCCAAAGTATCTGTTTTCCTTCTTTATCCAGGTATCCTATTCTCTCTTGGTATTCTTTTGCGGAATGTTTATCACAATAGATGGCTTTAACAAAACAGGAATTCCAAGCACTCTATGGGACTTCGTGGAGCCTTATGCAAAGATCAATCATGTTTCTGGGATAGCAGTTCTTGCCGTTGTCATACTTGTCCTCTCAAATTTTGCGTCAAATGTACCTACAGGTACTTGATGTTATCCCTTTTGCTTTTTTTCATTTTGCTCCTAGATTTTTTTAGCTTGGGCATATAAGGAGATTAATGCTCCGTTCGGTAGGGAAGATAAAAAATAGGAAGAATGTAAAATATGAGGAATACACTTTCTATCTTTTAAAGATGGAAAGTAGAAATGATACAATTTCCTTCCTTTGTGTTTGGTTGGATGGATGAAAAATAAAAATGACTATTTTTTTTTGTGCTGATTAAGATTAGAAGTGACAATCGAATCGTATCGTATCAAATTCGTGTTGAGTCATTATAGGTTTGTATCGAATATTAGTCAAACCTAACTTAACTCATTTAACTAATTGTATCATGTCAAGTTGCGAGTTGACCTGTTTATTTTCGTATCGAGTTCGAGTCGTGTCACTGTATTGAGTCGAAAATTTTCACCCTTAATTTAGATGAAAAAAATATTTTTTTAATAAATTTTTTTTTAATTTTTAAAATTATTTTTTTAATTTTTAATTTTGTTTTTAAANACTGTATTGAGTCGAAAATTTTCACCCTTAATTTAGATGAAAAAAATATTTTTTTAATAAATTTTTTTTTAATTTTTAAAATTATTTTTTTAATTTTTAATTTTGTTTTTAAAATTTTTTAATATATATATACATACATATTTTATCATTGTATTTTTTATATGAAATTAATGTATACATAATGTATATATATATATATATATATATATATAGACAAATAAGATATATCTCAACACAAATAATTAATTTTTTATTCACTTTTCTTTCGATTTTGGAGAGATAGATTTTTCTTTCGATTTTGGAGGGATAGATT